GATAACGAAGGGGAATAAGAAGAAGAGTTTGAACAAGATGTTTAGTATTTAAGTTAAAAATTTTAGTTTATAATAAATAATTCAACATTAATAAAAACTCCCATTTGTTATTAGAAATAAAGTATTATTTTCATAAATTGTGATTTTTTACTTTCTTCTTTATCATTTTCCGAGCGCCCCCGGGGAAATCTAATGCCTGAATTGAATTCGGTATTCTAGAAAACCCCCGAGTAACGACTTTGGGGCGATTTTCATGGACGCTGTCATTTTCCTCCCAATCACCCACAGACAACCCCACAAAGCCACCATCAAGCGCCTCCGTGGAAATCTAATGCTTAAATTAAATTCGGCGCCCCCGAAAACCCCCGAGTAACGAGTTTGGAGCGCTTTCCATGGACTCTGCAATTTTGCACCCAGAATTACCCCCCGGATACCTCCGCAGAGCCGCCCCCGAGCGCCTCCGGGTAATTCCAATGCCAGAATTAAATTTGGCATTCCCGAAAATCCCCAAGTAACAAGTTTGGAGCGATTTTCATGCACGCTACATTTGCATGGAAATAATAAGGGGCACTAGACGAATGGCTGCAAATGAGTATTTGAACCTCAGTATGTTGGAAGATTCCTTTCATCATATTTCTAATGATCCTCCAATTCAGCTGGTTGCCTCTATAATATTAATACACTGGACTCTAGTACGTGCTCCCTAAGACTAAGTAATGCTTCCCATACATCATGATAAGTGGATCGACCTTGGAAGGTGTCCTTTGTTACCAAATAGAAATGAAAACGCGATTCATCTTGAAGTTTAAATGCTTTTTTAGGGGCTGTTAGCTGATCTTGAGATTCTGGCAATCGAACAGACTTCTTCCGGTACACATATTTCAGACCTCAAGCGTCGTTGATGTTGGCTAGTAGTCTTTAGTTGCTGCTAGCAGGCCTTGTTGTTGCTCGGTTGTAACACGATATATTGCTTTTCTGGTATCCCCATATGCACCCATGAATTCTTCAATGACAAGGTCAAGTGTTTCTAGGATCAGCATTGCTTCTTCTTTCTCGTCATGGTCATCCTCAAATGGCGCTAACCAGTTTTGATGCACTACTTACTGTTTACCGTTCGGTAAATGATATCATTATTATTTTTTTCTAATGAGGTACGGACCTTCCCAAGACCTATGAAGCTTTGAAGAATAATTCTTTTGTCTTTTTGGATTATGGAGCCAGACTTTAAGCCAACACATGTATGTCGTCCATTTTGCTTCGTAGCTGGATCACATAATCTTCACCGTCTATGTCTCCTCCAGGTCGGGATCCAAACTCGAGGTCACATGGTAGTCTTGCTGATGGTTGGAAACCACTTTTGACAGGTATTTGCCAATTGTCTTATTAATTCATGTTATCATTCGATCCGACTGTGGGTGCAATGCCGTAGTTCTGGTTTTCGTCATGCTTAGTCTATCAGAGATTCCTCGGAAAAGCTGACTATCGAAATTTCTCGCTTTGTCTTTGTGGATATTCAAGGGCACTCCAAATCTACTAATAAATTATTTTATAAATGCGTTGGCAACAGTTGCGCCCTCTTGATTTGCAATGACGTAGAATTCCACCCAGTATGTGAACTAATCTATAACCACCACTAAGTATATATTACCATCCGCGGTCATGGGAAATGGTCCCGGCATTATCTAAGGCATTCCTCTTAAATACCTATCGACTTTGTACTGCTTGATGGGGGCCTTCTTTTTCGTTGGGGTCCGTTACTCAGAGCACAGGTGGTACATTTCTTACATTAGTCCTTTACATCATCGGAACTGTTTATTTAATAAAACCTTTCACGAACCCTCTGAAGGGTTTTCTTAACACCAGGATGTCCTATTGATGAACTATCATGTAACTGACGAAGTACTTCAACTAGTCTAGCTTTTATAATGACTGTCTTCCATTTTCGGAACCATAATTATTCTCTAGTACTTGATTTAATAAGCCCTCTTCTAGAATAAAAGAGTCCCACTGAGCCCAATATGACTTACATACTAAAGAGAGTTTCGATACTTCTTGCCAAGTAAGTCGACAATTTTCCTCTTTCCATTATCGCATCTTTTTAAAAAACGGGATCGTTCTCTTGTTATTTCCTAAGTTTGACAGGGGCCTACTCATCGTTGACAACCGTTGTTCGCCGTACTGTAACTTCTTTAGCCTATGTGGCCAACCCCTTTCCGAACAAAGTTCCTTGACCAACACCTGCATTGCACCTCGAAGGTTCCACCATGACAGGCGTTCCTTTCTCTACAGTTCCTTGCAACCCCGTTACTCTTACACTTACACATCTATCAGACACCGACACAGTTATTCGCTTCGTAGTGGCATTTGCGGCTGTTCTTCGGCTACTTCTAAATAAAGCCTTTTATCATGTGAAACAATTGGTTGAATGTATTTCTCTGTTCTTCTTCTTTTACAGTCTTTACTTCATTCTATCCACCATAAGCCAGCGTAGTCGCTTTACATTCAAGAGCGTCGGACAAGAGATCATCCAATGTTTTGTGACAGGCTAAACAGAGTGTTCTTTACATATTATGGTCACAAAGTTTATTGATAAATGCTTGAACAGCCAAACATTTAATCATGTATTCTGGAGCTGATGGATAGATAAATGGCACCAACCTGGCAACATCTTCTTCATATTCGTTTCTGTTTGTGATTCTTTAGCTGTGATTGATACAAATGTTCCAAGTGTTCATGGATATATCGCATGTTTAGTCTCTCTTTGAGTTGTTTAAAGTTATCGGCCTCTTTCACAGGTATAGTCTGAAGTACATCTAAAGATCTCCTCGAAGGGCGATGGTCAAATTTACTACTTTTCCTTTTTTAGACCATTCGTTCGCTCTTGCGGGTGCTTTAAACTGTTTAAGGTTTGTACATGACTTCTTCTCGTCGAAAGTTGGAGCTTTAACACGGACAGAATTTACAATTCCTTCATTTTAGCTTTGATTCCACCTCATAGTTTGTTTACAAACCTTGGTCTGTTCTGTATGATGGCCTGTTCTTTATGGTCCTTATATTCTATCTTCTTTTCCATCTGTTTTATTTTCTCCTTAACGGAAGACATTATTTTTTTCCTTAACGGAAGTTTGCCTATTTTCCACATCAGCAGAAATTTCATTTGTTAGAGAAGGCATTTTGTTGTCGGAAGAAAATTCGTTTTTTAAAAAATATCTATTCATTTGTACGATAGTTTATCGTAACGCTAGTTTATTACAAACGAAAGACACAAAAAATAAAGAATTCAAATTTAAAATTTAAAACTTATCTTCGGTTTGCACAGTTTGCTTTTAGAATGTTATGTAATTATTTCTAAAGTGTACATCATTCATCGTATACCATCGATTATTTAACAGCATCCCTAATATTCCAATTAAGTTTCCAATCAATTACATATAGTAGTAATTCAAATTGAAACAAAGGATATTTTGATATGAAGAGTAGTTACTATTCAACTATTCATGGGTAATATATTTAAATAAATATTTTCGTTCACTTCAATAAAGGCTTTAAACATTGTTGCGCGAGTATAAAACGGGTACACACTAAAATGGTTTGAAATTAATGCCGCTGAATTTACGACTGATAATAAAATGGACACTAACAGAGAGCCATTGCTTTAGGGTCATTAATTCGTCGGTGTATCTAAGCAATAAAATTACATGGATACGTTAGCAACTTGTCGGTCACATACGCTAATAAAAATAACGTCACTGCTAACATTCATCAGTATCATCTTTCCAACATTTCCTTTCCATAGTCTTCGCTCTATCCGTTAATAGTTAGTGATAATATAGTATTTAACGATAAGTTTTGGATGACGTCATATGTCTATTAGCGTAAATTTATTAAGGATTTTTGTATAAATATAATTGATGTATTTCATATTAATTGGTCAGAATATGATTTTTTTTCTCAAACCACTACTAACAGTATTGAATTAACGACAGTTACGATTTTGCTATCCGTTGCCGTATTGAGTTTCCGCTTAAAGAGCATTTTTTCCAGCAATTGCGTGCTTCAATTCTATTTTATTAAATTTAATTGTTAAAATCCTCTTTATAGTTAGTAGAAAAACAAAAGTTGTATATATTCACCAAAAGTTTCATAATTATAATAAGAGTTTTCAAAATAATAGACAGTGGGAAAGTTTCAGGAAGGTATCAATAGCCCTGTATGACCCCATTATGAAATAAATACAGGGTGATCCAGTAATAATGGCCTATATTCGGCGATATGAATCGTGTCGTGACCATTTATTAACACCTATTAAATTAGCTTTTTCTAGTGGAAAAAAGTAAAAATAAATAGTAAATTTTATATCAACCGATAGCTAAAAATATCTGCTATACGATGGAAGTATAATTTTCACCAAAGATTGCAATATATTTGGATGAAGTGCATCTTTAACGATTGTGATTTTAACCAATAAACTTTTTTTGTCATTTTTTCTATCGAGATAATAAAAACCAGACCATTAATGGAATTTATTGAAAGTGTCTACTGAGCCAACATCAGGTATTTTAAAACATTTTATTTACAATGTCCTGCAGTAAATGTAAGGTCACTGAATCCAAAGAAGAACCATTAACCAATTGTAATAAATGCACTGGTAAATACTGTCAAACTTATGCTAGGCTCTCTACTACTGAATACAGAGCAGCAATACTTAAATCTTCCAGAACCTTATTATTTCTGTGTCCAAACTGCAGATCTTTTTTTGATTTCCTACAACCAGAAACTGATATAAAAAGTAAAATTGAAGCTGAACTGAAATCATAAGAGACGAAATTTTATCAATTAAAAATGAGTTCTCTCTTTTTTCTAAAAATAGTAGATTGCTCAAAAAAGATGAAACTACGGATATTCTAAAAGCCGAAATACTATAACTAGAAGAAGAATTTAAAATCGAAATAAAACAACTAAAACATGAAATAATTAATCTCAAAGAGTCAAATATAGATATGATAACACTAATGACCTATGCTCCCGCCAGTGTGAGTCTCTCAAGTAGAAAACCATTTGATGAAATAGTTCAAAAGTTACCCTCCAACATCCTAGCATCCACACAAAAGAGCAATTTAGCATCACCCTCGCATAAACCACCGGCATCGCAAAGAAACGCGATAAATTCATCTCATAAAGATAATCTACTTACTCATCATAGGCCAACATTCTACACTACATCTCAACTAAGTAGTAAAAATTCACCTCTGCAGCCACCGATTCAAAGTTATAGAAAGAAAAGTCATAATGATCGTCGAAGAGACCACTCGCATAAATTATTAGAGGTAGATAACGAAACATTTATAGAAGTGGAAAATAAACGTAAGAAAAAACGTGAAAAAATCTTGGAACCCCTATAATTCAAGAAGAAAATACAGAAAATGCATTCGAGGGCGCATCAAGCACAAATAAGTTATGGGTTTTTATATCCCGCGTAAAAGATCATGTGTCTGAAGATAAAGTGAAAAGTTACATCGCTAAAAAGTCTAATACTAACCAAATTGATGTTAAACCTCTCAAAACCTATTATCAAAAAAATGATAAAAAGTGTTTTTTGGTTGGTATTGACCACTCGTTAAAAAGTGTTGTTTATGATCAGTCGTTTTGGCCAGTAGGAGTAGCTTTTGAAAGGTTTAATTTCAAAGAAGGTCAACATTTTTTAGATAATCCTCGCTACAAAAATATGGTATTAAAAATGCATCATTTGCTTCAAATAATTCGGTTTTTTCGAATCCCTAAATAATCACCTTCCTTTCAAAAATAGTAATAAAAATCTCATAATTTAAAGCCAAGTTCAACTTTATTTCATGTTAATAGTCAAGCATTATCTAATAAACTGGATAATTTAAATATTTTCATTAAACACCACAAATTTGATGTAGTTTGTGTAACTGAACATTGGTTTGAGAACCACGATCTTGAATGTATTACAATTCCAAATTACAGACTTGTATCACACTTCTCTAGAAAACAGCATATTCATGGAGGTTCATTCATAATGGTAAAAACCGATATTACTGTAGTAGAGGAGATTACACCCATAAATTAATTTGCTATAGAGTGCCACTATGAAGTTTCTAGCTGTAAGTTTATAATAGATCAAAGAGTTGTAGCAGTCATATGTATTTACAGACCAGGTACAGGTGACATTGACATATTTGAACAGAGATTAACGTCTACTTTAACCTATGCAATTAGTAAGAATAAAAACATAATTTTAACCGGTGATTTCAACATTCATTATGACAAGCAAAACGATAGTAATACAAAGTTGCTTATGTATATTATACACTCATTTCAGTTAAATATAACATTCTTTGAACCAACTCGTATATTTACAAATATTAAGGGAGTTACTTCTACTAGCACAATTGATTATATGAAATCACAAATAAAAACAGACTACGTAAAAGGTGGCAGTTACACCAGCAAAATGGCGATAGGGAAATGATACTAAACCTAGCAAACAACATCAACTTCCAGATCAGAGAATTCAGAAATAAAAAATGGCAAACATTCCTATCTGAATTGAAACCAAATGACAACTCTCTGTGGAGAGTAGTGAAGAGGTACAAAAAACCCTACTCGCTGCTCCCCACCTTGAAACGACGACAAGACATACTAACAACGGACAACGAAAAAGGTTAAGCCCTCGCTGAATTCTTTCAAGCACAATTTGTAAATAACCAGGTCAATAAGCCCGATCAATTACGAATAGAAAACATGGTAAACGAATTTGAAAATATAGGACCACTCTCAGTTCTCCATTCTTTTCTAACCACTCCTAGAGAGGTATGTGAGGCAATTAGGCGTCTCAAAAATAGAAAAGCTCTGGAACCGGACGATATTAGTAACATATTGCTTAAAAACCTTAGCAGAAAAGCTATCATGCAGATCTACCACATAATAAATGCCATTTTCAGACTACAACACTATCCTAGTGGTCTGAAAGTGGCAAATATAATCCCTATCCTTAAACGGGAAAACCAGGAAACAGTATTGATAGTTATCGCCCCATATCCCTACTTAACACACTTTCAAAAATAACGGACACAATAATTTTACGACGCTTAAAAACATTAGAACTGGGGAGTAGAATAATACGAATAACACTTCGTTATGTTTTATTCTAGGCTACAAAATATATATGAAATACAAGTTATACACGTCGGAGCTATGAGTCGGTGCACACCTGCTATGCCTTGAGTGGACAGCATGAGAATGAGGGCGACACAGAACAATTACTTTTAGAATGGAAACTGCAATGTTAAAATTTGAGACAGTTTTGTAACACCCGGTGAGCGTTCTTTGAAATATTTGGCGGAAGTGGCGCCATCTCGCGGTCACTTTAGTTAACACAAAACGCGGGAACATTCAAAATGGTCCTTCAATATTTAGTTTAAAAGTGGTAGTCAAATTAAGATTTGTTCATACCAACTCCTTTTTTACGTTTATTGTAGCAATAAAATTATATTTGTTACAATAAAGCAAAAAATGAGTAGTATGAACCAATCCTAACTTGACTACAAGTTGAAATATTTTTACAAAAAATTAAAAAGCATGATCAACAAAATTAATTTATTAAAACAAAAAAAACATACAAAATAGAATAATTAAATGTAGCGTGTTAATTAGCTGGAAAGTTAAGTCATTGTCCACAGAGGTTGAAGAGTTTTATCTAAAACAAAAAATAAATATTAATCAACTTATAAATCAAGAAGGGTACAGGAAGAAAAAAGCAGCTAAGCCACATTTTTATCAAAATTGAACTGGTCCGCCCTATTTTGTAAAATACCAGTATTAGCAAATGCAAAACAGTGCATTTAAAAGCACAGAAAGTGAGGCATAAATAAAAAAAGGTATACTGACCATTACTTCCCGGACTAGGCTATTTTGTCTTCCACAATCCAATATTGCCATTCCAAACGGCTTAAAGAAAGTTTGTACTAGAACAAATAAAAAACAGTAAAAGTAACAATCTGAACTAAATCAATATAAAAATCAAATGTGAGGCATGAATACAAAAAGTACAGTGACTATTACTTCCCTGACTAGGCTGTTTTTGTCTTCAACGATGCAATACTGCCGCTCCAAACGGCTTGAAAAAGTTTGTACTAGAACAAATAAAAATACAGTTAGATCGCTGCGTGCACCAAGAACTTTAAACATATCTTCAAAATGTTTATCACATACTAAATAGTTTTTACAAATTTGTTGTTTTATTCTTGAAAAATGGACTGCGAACATCCAATACTCAAATTTGAAATAAATCGTTATTAGGATTTCAGAGTGTTTACAAAACAATTTGGCATACAACAATACGATATATTACAGCTTTTATAACTAAAGATGACCACAAAAATTTAAAATAAGCTCAATCGTCAGCAAGATCAAGTAAACAAATTGTACATTTAAAACAATTGAACAAGACCAAGTTGACAATACAATAAACAATTATTTACAAAATACTTACTATTTATTCATCCAGGATCCAGAGCACACCCAAATACAAACAAATAATAATTATTGAAAATATGATATTGATAATCACAAAAAATACAGGTAAAATGGCAAATGTCATTCACCGCGAGGTAATCGATAATGGATGCCTGACAATGACAAATGACACTCCCACTCTTTCCACCATCAATTGTAGATTTCTGTAAATTGTTGTGTACAGCGGCATCTAGAATCTGTTCTTTGAAACAAAAATATAGTTTCAGCTCGGGCTATACCAGTTACCGATACCTGGAGGGCGATGCTAACGGTTGACAGCTGTAGGTTGGCAACTGAGCACGCGCACTGGTACTGACTAGCGTACGTTCACTAATTGCTTTTGATGTGTTCCACATACACCGCAAGAACAACGTATGTAGATTATCCCACGGGAACAATACGGTTTCAGAGAGAGGCACAGCACAGTGGCCCAGGTTCTGAGGATTGCACAACATGCTAAAGAGGCATTTAATCAGGACATGCAAACAGTGCTTGTGGCGTTTGACAGAGAGAAAGCATTTGATACCGTATGGACCCGTGGGATAACCTACAAAATGCTTTTCAATGACTTTCCTGAGCACATTATTAAAATAATTATCATTATCATACTTATCATATTCACAATTAATATATCATATTACAGGCGGACATACCGCCTTAGGCCTCAATGGATCACCATTAGGGCCACAACTGTAGTGCGTACAGTTTGTGTTTTGACGTTTTATGTTTACATACTGTATATATAATTTTTAACATGTGAATAAAGATTTTAAATGAAATGAAAGGCACAGCTCATAACGTTTTACTAGATTATTTTTAAAGAATTTTTTTTTCTTGGATTAGAATATTGTTAGGGAATAAATCTAAGTTTATCTTGGACCAATTTTTTATTTTTTTTTTTTTTTTCAATGAAGCACGAAATTAGGTTGTAAAATCCTCATTTTTCGATATTTTAGGCACTCTGCCAAAACAACACCTAAAAAATTTTAAATTTCGTTCTGAATAATTGTTTTTTCTGGACATCCAAAAAATATTTTTTATTGAAAAAGAGGCTGTAATCTGTTATGAATCGACTCTCTACATTTGTGTCAAAACTCAAGCGTTAGATTCCCCTTAAGTAACGTATTTTAAAAATTTAAAATATATGGCACATCTGTTAGAGATTTTGTGTTACTTGGGATACTTAACATTTTGAGCTTATTCAAATTAATTTATATATATTTATTTTGAATTCATTTTATTGGTTAACTATTATTTATTTAATGTATGATTTTTTAAACTTTATAATAATGAAGGAATACATTTATCAACACGCAGATTATAAGATAAGCACTGGAGACAATATCTCTTAATTTCTATATTACTATCTTTAATACTCAAATTAATTGATTACCCACTAAAAACACTATTGCTCCTTCAATATTTGTTATCGGTTCTAACCAAAATCGTATAGCTTTAACAAAATACCACCGTTCAGTCGCATTACCGTTTTGCATATTGGCAGAAGCACAATCTGAAATGATTTATGGTCAGATTAAAAGTAGATTGCCGGGTTGACAGGAATGTAGGGCGTACAAGCCGGCAATTTGCATAAGAACTTTTTGTTGCGATCAAACTTAATTTGTAGAGCGATTTGTCACGGCTGTCACTTTTTCTTAAATAAAGGAAACGTTGCTCTGTTAATTGAATAAGTGCGTTAAACGCGTGCACAATTTTTTGATAATTAAATTGTTGCGTTTGCACTCAAATAAACAAATGAATAGTAAATAGCTAACGGTCTGAATCTGTTTGAAGAAGGTTTGAAGCCAGTATGAACCATTTTTTTT